GGGGCGGGGCGGGAGCGCGGCCCAATCGCGCGGTGTCGGCGCGCAAAGAGTGCGATGTCGGTGAGAGCAGGAGTTGTCAGCGGGGGTGTGAGCGTGGCGTCGGCGGGGGCGGGAGCGTGGTGTCAGCGGGGGCGGGAGCGCAGCCCATCGTGCAGTGTCAGCGGGGCAGGAGTGTGGTGTTGGCAGGGCAGGAGCGCGGCATTGGCGGGGTTTGCGCCAGTGGTCTGTTCACGGTTGTGTGGCATCCGCGCAGATCGTGGGTTGTGGCCTGTCAAACGACGTCTAACATTATTCCTCTCCATCGTTGACGTAGATGGCACGCGACAGAGTGCCGCTACGGTCAATGATAGCAAAGTTACCGCGATCCTTGATGCGGCCAACGACACACTGGATGGTAGTTATATCGACGTAGTCGATACCACCCATCCTAGAGTAATAGTGGATGTCGAGAGCGTCATTGGAGCGTTGGATGTCGCAGGTTTGGATCGCTGCAAGGACGACTGGAGGAGGAGGATCGCCCGGAGGATTACCGTTATGGGGCAAGGAGGACAGTTGTATCTCAAAGATCCGCTGAAGTTGGCCATACAAGGTCTTTGGCTGAAGAATGACCGGAAGGTTTCGGAAACGTGTGTTGAGATCTACAAGGACCTCATACTAGCCGGGGGGTTACAATGAGATGACGTTAGAGGATCCTAGTCTGTGACTTACCCGAACAAATGACGCATCTCGTGTGTCCTCTCCACCCTTGTGCAATGTTGCAGCTCGCATCGTATCGCCGTCGTTCAAAATCCGGACTTTGCCCCACTCGTCCACCTCTGAAGGGAGCGCACGTCGAATCATGGCAGGCGTGTACGTTCTGAACCGGGTGCAGAGTGCGCCAATGATCTTGTCCTTCACTCCACGGTCTTGAAGTACGATGCGATGATGTGCAGGGAGAAGGATACATGTTTCATCTAGAGAGTATGCAGACGGTTAGTTCCTTGTGTATGCTTCAGAAGAGATATAGTGTACTTACACCCAGGCACCCGCCTGCCTTTCTCGACGGCCTCTGGTCTTAATGCTAGACGTGCGCGCACACCATACATGAGCTTGATCTGAGTAAGCCGGGCATGATCGAGGACATAGCGGTTCATGCTCGAGTAGGGATAGCGGCGGCTTCGGATCGCAGGCTGCAGAGCACCGCAATAGCGCTCCATGATGAATGCCCAGGCGGCCCATACCGGTCCAGCTTGTGTGATGCTGTCGGCGATGTGCAAGAGTGCGTGGATGGTGACGGGACACATGGGAAGACGGTCTGGCTCGTATTGGTAATAGAATCTGTACAACCGCAGGGGGTCAGCATCATATTTGGATGAGAACTGTGGCACGTACTCCTCGTACTTCAGAACCCACTGCGCAAAGCCAGTACGGATCTCCGCTACCGTCGCTTGGGAAAGCTCGAATTGCAAGCATTTGCGGAGGAGCTTGACAAGCAGGACAAAATGGTCGTAGTATTTGCGATGCTTGAATCGTCGTTCGAGAAGCACCGGCCCGACATATTGTATCCAGAACGAGCGCGTGTCTGCCGTCCAGGATGTCTTGTCGCTCGCGACGTTTGGAGGGCGTGGCCCAAAGACATATGGGATGTACGCACCCGACTCCGCGCTCGCAGCGCCGATAGCCTCCCAGACCGTTGGCTCAATTTGGTAGTCCTCTGAGCCGCAGTCTATGCCTTTGTATTGACCCGTCCAGAGCTGCATCAGATTCTTGACTACGTTCTCCCAGAGTAGATGCATGAAGTCGTATGGAAAGGAGGCGGGAAACGAAAGGGATGGGAGCGTGCTGAGCAAGGGAATCCCCTTGATTCCGTATTGCTTCGCCAGGGTTTCTTCTTCAACACCGGAGCCGGCGAACTGAACTTCTTGTGCTTGGCGTATGAACTCGTCGTGAGTGCGGAGAGGGAGGTTGTGAGGATCGTAGATGCGAACTGCGGTGGGATCAGCGCGGACGTCAGGGTGGCGAGCGCGGTGCAAAGGAACATAGAGGGTTTTGTTGCGGGATTCTGGAATACAAACACCGTGAATGGAACACATCCTGCAAGGGCAAACTCCGTTGTGTCCCTTCATCCGCATGACCATAGACATAGCTGGAATGTCGCCAAAGACAAGGATGAGGTACGCGCGCAGGGCGAAGAACTCGTCCGAGAGCGAGTCGTATGTATGCACTCCAATAGCGAGGCGGAGGAGCTCCTGCGCAAGCGGCCACAGGAAGGAGTCAAAGTCAACAGGTTTCTTTGGCCCAGGTATTACACCCAGCCCCATGACGTTCTTCAGAAGGGAGCGGATCTCCGGTGGGAGGTTGTAGTTGATGAGGATCAGCGGCCATGCGGTTTTTGTACGCCGCTTGAACGGGGCAAAGCCGTCCGTGGAGAGACCGAGTGCGATATCGCGATTGTCCTCGAAGTAGCGGTGCGGCAAATCACGGTTCTGGAAGGTCACCGTCTTCCCGAGAAGCGAACGATAGACAGTCGAATCCATGACGTCCTTGATTGTGCCGGGTTCGTGGACGTGTTCAGATGCGCAGTACTGCATTTGCGTGGCTCGCTCGCGGTTGGCAAACTGGGACTTGAGGCGGGGGATGATGGGGAGGTAGACGAACTGGTTGCGAGCGCGACGTCCACTGGCATCCCAACGTGATTCCTCACAAAACGGACAGAGGTTTTCAGTGTCATAGACACCAGTGTAGGCAATGCAGGAGTTGACACAGCAGTCGTAGAGTTCTGGCTGGAATCCTGAGAGCTGGGCGGCCCGGGATTGAATAGCCTTCCAAGTCTTGAGGTTCGCCTGTGGGAATGCGAACGGGAGTTTGGCAAATGTCTCTCCAGGCATGTGCGACTCGACCTTCAGTGCGAATGGCCGAAGGAACTCCAGGTCTTCTTCTGTGAGGTCTTCCGCTGTTGTAATAAATGAGCTGGAGATACCATGCAAGAAGACGACACTTCGCACCTGACGTCATTCCAGCCCTCAGAAGAATCTCAGCCAGCTTGTCCCACGCCGATATGGCTTCAAACTCTGGCACGTCCTCCCCATTCACCGCTCGAGCGTCATGAGCTTCGAAAAGGGCTTCCTGGGCGTCATCTCCCGGTGGTTCGGCTCCGAGTCCTGGCTCATCTTCATCTGCATCATCTTCAACCGTTGTACGGGGCCGTCCTCGCCATATTCGTTGTTGTATGGCGTGAGTTGCAGCCTGGAGGAACTCATCGGGTGTGGTGGGTGGAGTCACGGCCTGCGGATCTTCTACGTGAGTTTGAATCATGTCGGGCATAGAGACATCCTCTGCAGAAACAAGATTGCGTGCACGAGAATTAGATGCAATATAACCATAGTGATGCAGTGAGACCAATGTACCGGTACTACCCTCCATCGCGACCAATGGTGGATCACGACACTCAGCTCGAGCCGGCACATCATGCTGATTGACACCAACTCCTGCTGCGCGAGGATCTCCGTCTGCTCGAGGTTCCGCGCTCTGACGGCCTATGTGCGCGACGACTGGGCCAGGAATTGGGTTTTGTGGACGGCGGAAGGCCTTCTGTATCGCTGCAGCGGCTGCTCGCAGCAGAATAGGTGCCTTTCCACGCCGATGCGCGCGTGCTGTTTTTGCGGTGACTGGCTTCCCGCAGCCGCAGTCGCAAGGAGACTTGGTGTGTGCTGATTCAGGTGGCATCCCAGGTATGGCGAGGGGTTATCAGACGGGAACGAGCTCGAGAAGACTGCCCATGAGGCTTGAGGTGCGGCGCAAGTAGTGAGAGCCAAAGGTGGTTCGAACAAGCCTGAAGTGCTAGCGCTGGCACGGTCAAGCCAAAGTAACAAATATCAATAAGCTGGATAGAAACACGAGACTACACAGCGTAAGAATGGATACCAAATGGTAGTCAATTGAATTGAACGTGTACGCGGAAACGTCCAAGCGCATCCTTCAGCCCGCGCAAGCCGGCCGTAAATCTGAAAACTTCTTGGTCCTCAACCACCACCTCGACATCTGGACTGGGAAACCACGCTCACCTCTCGTCTTCGTACATCCCATCCTCAGTCTGCATCTCCAGCGCAGGATCTCTCGCACACCACATTGTAACCCTATCGCTGTCTACAGAACGAAATTTTTCAGAGCACTTCTTCGCCATGGCTGTACGTGCTACTCACCTGCCCCTTCCACAAGCCAAGCAGATACTCATGACAACATTCATAGCGACCCACTAACCAGCAGCTGTCGGACCAGCTAAAGGAAGCGAACGCGCGTCTGGATGCTGCAGCACGGTGTCAGTATTGCTCGTCTCTCATGGTCTGGTGATTGCACACTCACCCAGCAAATCAATCCAGTGGAGGCACAGAACAAGGCTGCGCTTGAAGAGGCACAGCGTCAGATCGCGGAACACAACGCTGCTCTTGCCGCCGCTCAAGCGCAAGTCGACGCTGCCGAGACTGCCGCCACAGACGCCGCTGCCGCCGCACAGGCCGCTATCGCCGCCAATGGGCAAGGACAAGCAGCCAATGGGCCTGCGCCTGCGCCCCAGCTTATCCCGAAGCCCCACCTTGCACCGCGGGAGACGATGAACATCCAGGGTGCCATGGGCATCAATAAATCACTGTACGGAGAAATACGGGTGAGTACCGGTCTACGCATGCCAATAACCTGCCTTCCCTTACACTCAATCTTGTTCAGTACCGTATCCACTGTCTCGTGCATGCCGCCAATCTTGAATGGCAGCAGGATTTCCGCAACCAAGACGCCGAGAAGCTGGCATGCATGTTCAAAGCAGTGAGCAGTGCATCTGTCTCTGAGTTGTTAACATTCACTCACTGATCTGGAACCCGTAGGCCGCCCTCGAGTTCCCTGTCCTCAAAAACTACACTCATCACTGGGCCACGGCCGCGATCGCGAGCCGCTACATGCAGAACATCCGGCGTCACGCGCGCGTCAAGGGAATACTGCCCCGTAAGTCCAAGTACAACCGCAGACAGAACAACCCGGCTTAGGGCGGCATCAGTAGCGAAGAAGTAGATCATGGAGGCGATATGCATAGGTGCGGCGCTATCGCATCACTGGCACAGGCAGCGTGGACGCGGGATCAACACGCGTTATGAGCGCGCGCGAGCACGTTGTCGGGTCCCTGGGCCGGAACGTCGCGCGCATCTCCCTTTCTCTAGTACCTATCAAAAACACCATGTACATTCTCAGTAGTATTGAAATTCTCCTATACACGCACACATTTCCCGCAAACCCGAGGGCCTGCCAGGTTGCCATCCGTTGGCGACTATTTGCGCGACTTCCAAGTGACCATTCTGCCTACTTTAAAGTGACCGCGTGTATAACTTCAGAAATGCGATATTTGCGACTACAAAGTGATAGTATTTGTTACTTTGCCAAGGAGAGCGTCATATCTACAAAGTGACCCATCGCGCGACTACAAAGTGATCAGTTTCGCAAGTTGGAAGGCCGTCGTATTCGCTACTTAATATCACGGAATAGGCGAGAACACCGGTGACTGTATGAGTGACTACAGGTGGGGAAAATCAGCACTTTCGCGAGCATTCGAGGAAGTGACGAAAGGGAAAGTTTTGTGCAGGAAAGCGTCAGTCTACACCCGGAGTTGTAGTGATGCTTTTGGCTGGGCGCTCCAGCGCATAACCTGCCATAAGTGCTACATAACCAGACTAAATCTGCTACTTCATCGTCACTTCTCAGAGTCCGGAAAAGCGCAACTTTGCGAGCCTACAGTGTCGAGCTCGCATGCACCGACGGAGGACGCACAGGACACTCCCTCTCGCTCGTGTCAAAAGGCATCCGCACAGCGGCGCGCACGACTCGCTTCCACTCCATCGCGCTCATCGCGAGCCCTCGCCGCCTCCAGTTGTTCATCGACCTCTATCAGCGTGAATGCGACCCCACGCGTGAGGGCAAACCCCGTATCCAACACCTGCATATCGCGTTCCCTGTTGGCGAGCCCGGACGCATCGCGTATGTCCTGAACGGCCCCGACCTGTTTTGGCCCCTTGCGCACTCGCGCTCGCTCGAGCCAACCCCGAGTCCCCTGGCCCGAAGCAACCTGCACGCGCTCGCTGAAACCCACAATGTGCTAGTGTTCGAGAGTGGTGTGCGCCGCGACGGCACTGCAGGCACCTATAGCACGAGGGCGTCGCAGCTCACGCCGAAGCGCAATGCGGTGCGGCCCAGCATGTCGATGAAGTCGCTGCTAGTAGCCGTCCGTCGCTACCGTACCGTGGCCATGGAACTCGTGACCGGCCGTCGTCGCACCAGTCGCTCCGACCACCGAACCACCTCCCCAAACCACCTACGCAGTCCAGTTGCTGATCACCTAGGCCCGACCTCCTACGAGGAGTACTGCGACACAGCTCAAATCCTTTTCCAATTGGTTGCACCTGATCTGGTCACCCTGGTCGTACAGTACGGGTTCACTTCAGGTCCCACTTACGGCCACAAGCCGTGTCTCGCCATCGTCGACCGTTCGTTTCCCCGCCTACAAGAGGCCGCGTTTGTAGTCGATGACCCTCGTATGCTCCTCTCCCATGTCAATGGCGCGGCGGACACGCCAATTTTCCCTATGCTGACACACCTGCATGTCGCGCCCGGATACACGGCCGCGTGCGGAATTTGCCTCTCGTTCTGGACAACACATGCACCCGGCGTCACACATCTGGGCGTATCCCGTGCGGAGGACTTTCTCGACGACATCGCTGGCGCGGTGGGACTGCGGATGCCGCAGGAAGAGCCTTCGGGCTCTTACAGTCTACATATCACCTCCTCCGATGATTCCCTGGCGTACTCCATCATTACTCCGCTACCGTCATCGTCGCCGGCGCCGCTGGAGCCCCCGTTGACGCCGATGTATCCGAGCGTGCGCCATTTGGTATTGCAGTCCAGTCCACTGAGGACAAAAGCCGGGTGCCGGTACGGTGGGAGCGAGCGGTCGAGCTTCGCGCGCGACAGGGAGAGTGAACGGAGTGAACGGGTGGCGCGGATGTGTGGCAGCTGCGAGGCGAATGGCTTCGAGGCCTTCCGGGCGAAAGCACCCGTGGACGGAGATTTCGTACACTACTACGAGCAGGCTCGCCGTAGGTGGCTGGAAAGGATGACCGACGGCGGGGATGGAGCTGGTGGTTGGCGTGGGGATTAGGTGATAACAGTGACGAAGTATGATCTCTGGTACGTGAGACGTCGTCGCCCCCAAGGTTAGCAGGGTTTTTTTCTTGCGCTGGGCCTCCGGTGATGCTAAAAATCTTATGACATCCAGTTTCGCTCACTGCTATGCATGGAAATCATCTTTTTTGTTTAATTTATCGCCATCTTCTCCCCCACGAGTCTTGGCCCACCTACGATGATCACTAGAAAAGTGGGGAGCCTTCTCAGATACCGTCTGATGTACCACTACCAAACATACGCGGTTGTGCTTGTCATTGTGTTCGATGCCTTCAAACCATATGGGCAACCCTGGCGTTTCTCGCTGTGCGAGCGGCCAGCTACATTCCCTCTTCGTCCTCTTGACTTATGGATATATTCTCCCTAAAACTCTTCGACCAATATTTGAGTTTGCGTGTACTCAGCGAGGAATTGTCAAAGACCTGAATGTTGCAGACGAGCGTGCGTCGGCAGACCCATTCAAGCAGTGGCATCTCGTCTCGGAGCGGTCATGGAGCTGACGTCTTTCCGGCCCTGCTCAGATGTCCCCCTGGAGGCCTGGACGATCCACATACTAACACTAAATGTCTTCCCCCTTTGCGACGCGGCAGGCCCACCGGCCTTTCAGAAGCAGGGACATAACCAAGTACCTGCCTTACGGGAAGGTCATCGAGCTGGATGTCGACCACTGGGTGCAGTTCGAGGCGACGGAGCAATGGAACACAGAACTGGGGAACTAGATCGGAGGGCTTGGTCTACAGAGCTCTACCTGAGTGGGATCGAGCAGACCCTGCATGTATCCGAGAGTGAGAGGAGTGTATTGTGAATAGATCAGTGAATGACCAACCACTGTGGCTGCCAGTGCGCGCGATAGGGCTGCAACGGGCGACGGAAAGGCGGCTTCGGCTTCCAACGCTCGGCGCTGTGGCGTCCCATGCCGAATCGGAACGGCGCGTGGAGGACCATGGAGAATCATCTCCGGGAGGATCTCGTAATCGAGGACAGCTGGAGTGCGGCGCCAGAAATCGCTGCGACCAATTGAGCGGCGGTCCTGTCGGTGGATGCGAAGGTGATGCTATGGATGGAGGGCGCTCGTGCGGCTGAGGAGAGAGATGGGCGGGCATCTGCTTACACCTGCCAGTGCCTCGGGCGGTGACGTTCCGTGAACAACAACATATAGCTGAGCGGTGTAGACTGTTCTGCTTGCTGTCCGGTCCGTGAGTATGAGCGATGGTCGGACTCGGAGCCTATTGTGCAGTGCACCCGTCCCTGTCTGTGCAGGGACGAGGCCAAGATCAAGATCAAGTTTTCGACTGATAAAGCGAGCAGCGTACACGTCAAAGCATCATTGGCAAGCGGCGCGAGAGTGGCATGTCAGAGAAGCGTTCGCGCGGCCCGCTTCCTGTCGCAGCCTAGACAGAGGACGGCGCTCACACGAAGCCAGGACCTTTGTTCGAGGCCACATCTGACGCAACATTGATAAGTTGGTGATATGAGCGTAGACCCTGTTTAGGACACACCTTTAGAGTGTCGATTGCACAAGACGCTGAGGTCTCAAAGCGAGGCTCGGTAGGGGCACGTAAGTACGGACTGTATCTGTATGCTCGAGACCCTGTTCGAACGAACCACATTGAACCAAGAGATAGTCAGACCACCTCAGCGGCGACCCCGTCTTTGGATAGAGAAGGCCGCGATTGTGGGCGAGGAAGCTCGATGATGCATGCCCCTTTCCGGGCTGCACTAACGATCACCTCTGTTGAGTTTGGGGCTGGTTGGGGAGACGTGAACAATCCAGTACTTGATAATCCGACTGCCTGCGCCGGCCGTAGGATGCTCAATACTCATAAGAGAAAAGCGGCAACGGTCCATCGTCGCCGACAAGAATCGTTGCGAAGGCGTGTGTGGCACGTGTTTCATCCGCAGAGGGAGAGTGAACAATCTGAGGCGAGCCGGAAGTAAACAAATGCTTTGGTCAGGTCGGTGGTGGTGGTGACGTGAGAAGGAAAACTTTGTAGTTCTCCGGGCAGCGCGCGAAAGGTCGTTGGCGCCTTCGGCGCTAATGTAATGACCTTACGCAGCTTCATGCACCCAAATGCACACACCGTGGATCCGGATAACCCCAGAACACAGCGTCGGTAGTTGTACTAGTTGTGAGCGCTGGTGTGTACCTCTCACCGAGCGTATTTCCGGACAATACTGTGCGTATTCACCATCAGTCACAGTTGTCGTAGTTTGAAGCGCCGACGGGAGTTTCCAAGCGCTGAGGAGGTAAGTCCTACTATGCCGTCCACTGGCACATGCATAGTTCGCATAAGTATTCACTGCTCACTCACTCACTCCACAAGGCTCGATCCAAACAGGCAGAAGGCGCCTCCATAACCAGGATGGGGGCTGGCACAGGTTGGGAAGCCCGAGCTCCGCTTTGATTCAGATCTGAGGGTGTGCTCGACGGTACTTGACGCTATATGCATCCTGAAGTTGTGCTCACATGTACAGCCATGACGTCGCGCTATCAGTACTTGGAACCCGATCCAAATCTGAAGGTGGAATCGTGGGTACAAACCGACAAGTATTCCGGAGCAAGTCCGCGAGCTCCGATTCAGATCTGGAGGTGGCCGGTTGTCGGACGGTACTTTGTGCGCTGACAGAGAAGCGTCACTTTGTGTACAGTGGGCCCCGATTCGATCTGGAGGTGGTAGCCGCCAGGCCGAGGGTCGGACGGAAGTGGTAGGGCGCGGGCGATTAGACCGGGCTAATTAGCAGTGAGCTAATTAACACGGCTAATCAGCCGTCAAAGACATGTCATTTACTTGGTGGCCGGGACTGCGAGAATCTGCTAGGTTAATTAGGGTCAATTAGGTCCTTTGATATAGGTGTCGACTACGGGACCAGATAGTCACTTTCCCCGAATGGCATTCAGTTTTCGTCGTGTTTGTGATCATCTACCGTTTCGCACCCTCTGCTCGGTCGAATACCGGTGTGGCCGAGGCTAGCGCCCGCGGAGTGCGTGAGCGCTTATATGTCCAAGCCTCTCTCGACGAGAACTCGTATGTACTTACCTCGTACCGAGCATTCCACTGTGTCCCCTGACCTCGAGGAAGTAGAAATATCACTCCGAAACCCTGAAACCTACGAATTCTCGCTGATTTTGTGGTCAGCGCCCACACACGCTAATTAGCTGACATTTACACCGGTTAATGTCACCCTCGGGGTCCGCAGAGGGTGTCCTGCTAATTAGCTCCGGTCAATTAGACCCCCGACCCTAATCGCCCGCACCCTAGGAAGTGGCCGTTCGTCGGACGGTGTGTGCGTCGTGGTTGTGGAATGTGAGAACGGTTTCCCTGTGTACGGCCGTCCCCAATTCATGTGCAGGCACTGGTACAGGCAGAGAAGCGTCAAGATTGTGGTCCGAATCTACGCTTCACATAGCAGGGGGAGTCATATGATGGTGCACTACAGTATATAACCTCAGGTCAAACCCCGAGTCTGCAGCCACTACAACTTGAAGCACCCATGGACTCGACTTCTTCCCCCAGTATACCGCGAATCTTGCCAGCCGGAGGCCCCTGGGAGGTGGTGAACTCGACCGATACTTGCCCCGTCGAGTGCTACCGACTTGGCACTACACTTTCCGACAATAAGGCTATCTACCATGACCGTGAGTACACCATATCATCTTTGACGTCTACTTGCTCGCTGCGTAGTAGCGAGCGTTGCTAACTGCTGTTTCCAGTGGCAGAGCCAGCACTTCAACACCCCATGGATGTCATTAATGGCCACCAGAGTCACTCCCAATGGAACTCCAATAGTAGGTGTTGAAGATGAACAGCATATTCAAACTGGCCCTCATACTCTCAACATAATACCAGGTTCTAACCCGAAGTTTGGAGGAAAGAGTCGTCGCTGCTCTCGTACTACCTTCATAGCGGTGATTACTATTCCTATTGTTCGAAAGAGGGGCGCAAGATGACCGAACAATATGTCACAGTGCTACAACTGCAGAGAAATCAAGAAGAAGTGCAGCGGTGGCGATCCTTGTGAGCCATGTATCCAAAAGGGCAAGGCACACACATGCGTCAGGGCTGGCACGAGGAAATCACCTGTGCGTCCCGCTCTGAATCAAAGCGCCCACCTCCAGCCCATGTTCCCGGCAACGTCGGGTTAGTCCTTTGACTTAGCATTCATCTTCTCATATCTCTCCTGAGAAATTCCTATCATCTAACCGCCCTTGTTTCAGCCTTGACTCATTTTGTAGCCGGTCCCGAACCCACACCGGGGGCGGCACCTGTACTCAATGATTCCTTGAAGGCACCTTCTACCTCGAGCCAAGTCAGCGGCGACGGCGGTTCATTGGGTCTCCCTTGCTATTGCCCAATGCATGGCTACATCACGCGCATGGAGTTTACCGCTGACAGTGTTAGTACCCCGGGCTGGCGAACGATGGGCGAGCCGGCACGGTACCCTCACTATCAATGGGCCGATCCTGTCCCGTGTTGAACTTCTGTGTCTACGGCTGTGCCGGACCGGGAGTGGCAGTGATAGTGGCTGTGCGTCTACCATACGCCAGCATGGACTTTCCTACTTACCATATATGTACATTCTTTTGTTCTGTACTTACTTAGCATCCTGCCATCCCTCCATATGATTCTGGTACGTTCTACGATGTTCCGGACTATTCTAGACAAGCGTCCGGATTACTCGCATTACTCAGCCATGGACTATCTGACCTTATGTCGATTATGCTCCCTTACTCAGCGTTACTCATCGCTCAGTCAGTGTCCTCTGGACGTCACATGCCCTCTTCCTATATGCTTACTCATCGTCCTCCCCAGTAGTATATAAGGAGGACTCTGCAGGCCTCTGCTCTTCAGTCGTTCTCTCACAGACTGAAGAGTAAGTCCCATACTACCTATGCTTCCTTACATTGTTTACTTA